ACATTATTATTTTCGATCATTATATAAACCTTAAATAATAAAAGTATTACAAAATAAAATACACTTTATATAGAAATGTTTTGTATTCCTCATGACTTTAAATATTCTTGAATGAAACTCCATTTGGAAAGGGTAAATTAATGCCTTTAGATTGAGCCTACATTACAACCACATCCACAGTCACATCCACATCCAGCTCCAAATCCCATGGGGCGGTCAGTGGCGGCAGCTTTCTGTGCTACTTCCGACAGCCGGAGTTGGAGTTGGATTCGGACTTGGACTTGGATCTGGAGTCGCAGTTGGACTTTGGCTAAATGCTCCAATGGCGTTGGCTGCCATTTGTCAGGCAGCCGACCGCAAAATAGTTGCACTCACTTCTTTGTTGGTGCCTGGTGCTTTTTTGTTGCCTGCCCCGCTTGACGCGATAATAAGAGCGATGAGGGGAGGTAAGGAACCGCAGGCCCAGACCCCAGACCCCAGACCCCATCCCAAACCCAACCCATCCTCAAACATAGTGTGAGAACTACTACTAGCCCGGGTCTCTTTTTTTTCGCCCAGTTTTCGCTAGTTTTCGCGAGGAAAATAAATACCAATCTACATAAAAGTGGAAACCAAATAAGAAAAACACAGTCCGTTTGTTGGCCATTTTCTAGAGCGAGAGCGATAGGGGGGAGGGGAAGGGAAAACCTGCTCCTGTCTGCCTTCTAAAGCAACTCGATGGCACAAGAACCGGGGAGTTGCAAAAAAGTGGACAAAAAAGTGCTGGAAACGAAGCTAGGAAACCGCAAATGGATCAGGGATGAGACTATCATATGATAATGGAAAGATATAGATCATTGTTTGCTTTAGTTTATTCTAAATATAAAAATAAACATTAATATATTCAAGAAGTAACCCAATACAATTTACAATTTAAAGTTTTCTAATGTCTATTTATGATATACAGAACCCTCTCTCGTGACTCACGAGCTCATCTCTGCTTTTGGCCAACTGGGCAGTCATCGGGCATCTGGACTGGGAGGTTTTGCGGTTACAATTTGGAGTGTAGAGGCCCGGGCCCCAGTCTAGTTTTGATGAAATTGCTCGAAATAATAGGGTGAAAATGCTTTGGTGCTTGTGCTATGTGCTTTTGCTCTGTGCTCTGCTTTTGCTTTGCTTTGCTTTGCTTTCTGCGCTTCGCCTTTTAACTCTTTCGCGCTTTGGCTGTGAAAGACCCAAAAAGGCGTTAGCTGAGCTGAGCCAACAAACCGATCCCCGGCACAAAACTCTGAGTTCAACACGCACAGGGGAGTTTCCTACTCGTTTTTTATTGCAAGCAAAATATACAAAAAGTGGGTGAATATAAAGCCGAGTGAAAGATTTGCGGTGTGCTGTGCTGGGTGTGTGTGTGTGTGTGTGAAAATTGGGTCTGGTGTTTGGGGGTTAGACTTGACAAAGCTGAGATTTCCATGCGGTTGCCAAATGATTTCTATACGACAGCGAAATAAATGCATTCGCACGTTCATATTTTTGCCGTGTGAGGAATCCAATTAGCGATTTGCTTTGTGAGAAAAAATATGAGATCACAAAAGATAGTTGGCTATCGCATTCCAAGACCAAAGAACTCACCTTGAAAGGGGATTTAGGTGCACAGAAAGCAAACTTAGACATATCAACTCTTATTTATATATAAACAATAATATTAAGCTATTTTCTTAGCATGTTTAAGTTTCAATTATATCCTCAAAGTGTTATTAATTTAATCAGTTATTGAACACAAATATCTCCTTTATTCTAATACCTTTTTTTATACATTAAAATATCATTAAATGGCTTGTTTTTCTCCCAGTGAACATTCATCTTTTCAGGGCTTATCCTTCTCCCCATATTCGAATATAAATTTTATATAAATAAAGGCAAACATCGCTCACCGACTTAATTGAGTTACCTGTCCACATCGAATATAACAAAGGGGAAAAAAACCATAAGGCAGAGCATAATCCACAAAAAATCAAAACCCATCCACCGCCAAACCTTTCAAATCAATTACTTTAATCAATTTTTAACACGTTTGCGCTTCTTTGAGCCTCGGTCTCATCTTCTCTTCTTTTTTTTGCTAAAATTTTAATTATGAAGATTAAATACGAGCGCGAGCACAAAGGCAGAACAAACTAACCTGCCATAACAAACTCGAAATAATATTAAAGAATTTTTATTGAAATAATGGCAGGCACACAGAGCCCAGAGAGCTGAGGGCGCATCGCGTTCTCGTTCGCGGTTCGTCAGTGTCAGACGAGGGAACTTCAAAGGCGGGGTACTCGAGGAGAGCTCTGGATAACTAGAGGATGAACCAGGGGAAAGGGACTGGGATGCAGGGTACAGGGACACACTGATTGGGGGCGACGACAGGCTGTCCCTCACTGCTCCCTCTGTTTCAGCCGCTTTGCCGCTTTTCTAATTGAAATGTTCCGCACCATATTTCTCTACGCTTTACCACCTGCTGCTGCTGCTGCTGCTTCGCGGATGGAACGACTTTGCCCCCCTTTGCAGCATTCCCCCTCCCCCCCTTCCCCACCCCCTGCTAAATAGTTCTCTCTCAGTGTCTGTGCTGTGGGACCCTGCCTGGACTCGGGGGCCTCACTCGCAAATTGCAGGCGAAACCGCTGGAACAGAAAACAACAAAAAACTAAAAACTAAAAAAAAAAAAAGTAAAGGAAGCAAACAATGCACTGACCAGCGAGCATCCAACCATCCGTGGGCCATCGTTTTCATCCGCTTCCTTCATTATCAACGCCAAGTTGAGCCCGTGATGATAAAGGCAGTTGAGGGACTCGGCCCGATTATTTTTCACCACTTTGGCCATTTTTCCCTTCGACTATGATATTTTGCTAATACTCTTCTTAAGGGGAGTATGCATAAATGTACTGAGTTTGTCGTGCCAAAGTTTATGGAAATATATATAACTATTTATAGCAAATACAGGTCATTTATTTGTGCAGAAGACATTCTGCTTAGCATTTCTAGATATTTTCCCTATAAAGTTAAATAATTAAGAACCTTAAACCTCTTATATATCCAGAAGCATAAATTCTCACTTGTCTTTAGTAATTTTCTTTTATAGTTATATATTCCCTTATCAAAGAGTATTCCCAAGCTTATAGTTCACTCACAGCTCCATTTCTCGCCCATTTTTGCAGCCATTCGTCTGCATTTTTCTAGGAAATAATTCTTTGCTGGTTTTTTTCCAGAGTTTTCTTTCTGTATTTTTTTTCCCCGACAATGTCTCGTCTGCAGTCCAGTTGCGTCTTTATAGTCTGCGGATGTCGGAGTTCTCTGAAGGAGGAGCAAGTGTGGGAGAAGGAGAAGGCCTCCATAGAGTGGAGTTGGAGTGGAGTGGAGTTCTCCGGGTGCTCCGCCACTGTCAGGCAGAGTGTCACACCTGTCACTTTTGTGGCTGATCACAACAACCGCCGTGGCCAGAGACGAGGGACGTCGACGACCTCGCCCCATTATTTTTGCAGGCTGGGAATGGTGCAACAAGGTGTGAACGTCAAATAATCACCTCAGAACACGGCATGCCGGCCTGAGGATTCAAACCTCATTCACCGTCGGGGTATTTATTTTTCCTAAGAAAATTCGTCGCATTTTTTGTGAATCTCCCCACCCACGACATATGTGTGAAATTTCAATGGAAAGACACAGGCAGCGTCTCCCATTTGTGGTTCCTTTATGTTTGCATAATTATATTATTACAGACTGGATGTCAGGGGAAGCCAAAAGTCTTATGAATATTAAAGCAGAGGCAAGACTTTGTTTCCTCCCAGAACTCAGACGAAAGGAAAGGTGCCCGAAAGGCGTCCAAGTTCATCCTATCATCTCCGTTGAGTCTAGACAATTTGCAACCGAAAAACTTTTGTTCCGCTTTCACTTTGCTGCATTTCTGTAGGCATTTCTTCAATTAGCGTTTTTATTATTTTTAATTAACAATTTTGCAACTTAATCCTTGCAGCCGAGTGTTGGGGCTAGTGCTGAGGCACGCCTCCTCTCCAGCAGCTCGCTTTTCCCCCCAGTGGCATAATCGAATCAGCGACGCTTGAGCAAAGTTTGTCTAAGGACAAAAAGTTTTTCCTCCCACCAGACATGTGCATAATTATGCCGGGAAAATGGAAGGGAGAGAGAGGACCCAAGCCCAGGGCCAAAACACAAAGGGTGGACAACTAATTGAGCGATGTTTGTTGTTGCAAAGAGAAATGTTCTCCGAACTTGCAGCAGACAACTGGCAGACAGTGCCATCGGCCGAGGAAATGCTAAGAATTAAGTTTGACAGACTGGAAAAATGGCAATTAAGTTGCTAGATATGATTATCATAGCAGCAGGACAGTTAATAAAGGGTAGTGCCAGTGATGGGATCAAGGGACCGAGTAGAGTTTCCATGAAGAAGATGATGATTACCAAGGAATTCCCCGAAACGGGTGCAAGGCATTTCCAATTCAAAGGGTAAACTTCTGCCATTGCTTTTAGCACACACGAGAAACTTTTGTAATGCCATTAAATAGCTTTATAAATTGTTAATGCCAGAAAGGATAAGCATTTGGGGCGGTTCCTTGCTATAATCCTTTCTAACAAACTATATATGAATGGTTTCCATCAACTTTAGGTACCTTATATTTATAGCAAAGTAAAGCCCAAAAAGGTATTGAATTGAACATGTAAGGATACCAAAATCTATCACTTTTTAGGTACCTTATATTTATAGCAAAGTAAAGCCTAAAAAGGTATTGAATTGAACGTGTAAGGATACTAAAATCGATCACTTTTTAGGTACCTTATATTTATAGCAAAGTAAAGCCTAAAAAGGTATTGAATTGAACATTTAAGGATACCAAAATCGATCACTTTTTAGGTATCTTATATTTATAGCAAAGTAAAGCCTAAAAAGGTATTGAATTGAACATGTAAGGATACCAAAATCTATCACTTTTTAGGTACCTTATATTTATAGCAAAGTAAAGCCTAAAAAGGTATTGAATTGAACATGTAAAAGGATACCAAAATCGATCACTTTCGCTTCCTGTGGACATACACATCAATGCTGGACTCATCGTCTATAACCACACCGTGGTGCATGGTGAGTACTGCCTCGCAATTGATGCACACGTGATTCATTTCCTCGGTACAGACGTCGCAATAGGGCACACCGCAATTGTGGCACAGAATGAAACTCTGGTCCTCCGGATCCCAGCAGACCAGGCAGTTCAGCTGGCCCCAGGAGAAGTAACGCAGCCAGGAGAAGGCCTGCGGCCAGGCCGAGCGGAGACGCAGCAACGGATTCAAATGCCTATGAACCTTATACTTGGCCAGATTAGTCTCCACATCCTCCACCAGGTTCTGCAGTGCCAGGGCCCGCAGACGCAGGATGCGATTGTAAAGGTAAAGGATGCGCTGCTTCTCGCGCTTCTCGTAAAAGTAACCACAAATGACACGCCGCATGCGAAGGAATGTATGCGAATAGCAGACCACCACAAAGATGGCCAAATAGAGGAGCATCAGCCAATGGTAGAAGCTCCAGGGCAGGACATGGGGTTTCGGCAGGCACTCCTCGTTGCTCAGCGATGTGGCGACATGTTCGTGGATATTGAAGTTGTGCATCGTGACGCGCAGCAATTGGGCCATTTTCCCTATGCCGGTGATCTGTCAAGGATTTATGATTAGGATTGACCTTGGTAGGCATCCTCCAGGATCAGGACTCACATTAAAGCGCACCTCATGCTCACCCCTCTGGTCATATCTGACCAGTGATCGCTGGCGGATAATCTGCAACAGATCGACAACTATCCGATCGAAAAGTAAGAAAATGGAAGCGCAGACCAATTCCAGGGCGAAACGAAGCTGGGTGTAAAACACCTTGTTAACCTCTTCGGAAGATCGGGAGCAGAAGCTTTTGGAGTCGATGTAACGCACCTTTTCGTAGGTGCGCAGCGGTAGAATTGAGACATTTCGCTTCTTCTTGAGCCGCTGATCGACGTGCTTGAAATAGTTGGTGATATACAGATTATCAAAGTCCACATTTTCCAGATACCAGAAGTAGTATCTCAGCGAATAGAAGGGTACACGTAGTATGAACAGGCAAAGGAACATCTCAAACACTTTCATGATTCTGTTAAAGGTCCTGCGATGCCGCTTAAACTCCTCGGTGAAGCCCTCCGTAGTGCGTTCAGCGGATCTCAGATGGCTCTTGGCCATCTCCTCGTCCCGCAGTTTGTAGCTAATCACAATCTCGGAACTGTTGTCAAAGAGCTCCTGCTCGGTGCGCAGCAATTCCACATAGGTTTCCCCGAAATTGCGAGGTATCACCTGCGAGGGATCACAGATCTTGTCCGGATCACCAAAGACATCCACCTCGCAGATAATGTCCACACGATATGGCCAGCAAATGACCTTGGCAACCCACCATTGGAAGTTGGTGGTGCACTTGCGGTATCCCTCCCGGAAAACCTTCTCGCAGACACGCTGGCCACTGTCCAGCTGATGTTTGCATCGATTCATCATGTTTAGTTTGAAGCGCTCTTGCATCTCGCTGGCTGTGGGCAGCTCTCTTCCCACCGCCGGATTTGTGATATTAACCTCATGCATCCTTGTCTCTCCGCTCTCGTCGGGTATATCGGACTGCTCGACGGCACGTTTTAGATCGCCCAGCACACCCTGCAGCTCCTCGAAAGTCTGCCGGATCTCGTCCACATCCCTGTCCATGTTCTTCAGGGTGTTCGTAAAGGGTTTGGCCATTAGGTCAAAGCGTGTCTTGGACAGATTGTAAGTGAGCATTGTGCTGCAGACAAACACACGGGATACCTCTTCGGCATTGGACACCAGATTCTCGATGGGTCCGGCAATAATCAAGGCAAAGGCCATGGCGCGCAGGTACAAGGTGCCCGCCCTGCCCGCCAGCTGGACAAAGGTGAGCAGGACCACGGTTCGGATGCCGCGGCTCAAGGCGTAAAGTATGGCCGTCAGCAGGACCAAAGCCGTAAGCAAAGTCGAACTCATGCCTTTCCGGGACAGGCTAAAGTTCAGGGTTAACAGCGTCCACAACAGGTAGCCAGAGATCAGACCAATCACAAAGCTAAACATGCCCCGGACACGCTTAAGCTTACGTGTTTCCTGGCTCTTTGGTCCATAGATCAGACAATAAATGGGACGCCAGCGCCAAATCAGAAACATGACGAAAGTGAAAGTAAGGACTGAAAGTGAGTACTTCTAAAGGTTGGGAACCTTTGAAGTTTGTTCCAAAGGTTGCCTCAAATATGGAACGTTATTTTAAAGGTAGAAAACCGAAACTAAACTAGTACTTTTATCAATTTTTGTTCGTTTTATATACATTTTAATGCTATTACTAGCTTTCCTGTTTGGTTCCAAGGTTAGTACTCCGACAAAGAGCCTTGAAAGTCCAAGCAGCTGCCTTCGTTCTGAACTGTTTAGCAAATACAACTTGTTAATGAAAAAGACTGCTATAAGTAGTCGAGCATTTAAATACCCTAACCTATTTAATACAAAAAACGAGTATTTCTCTTTTTAAGAAATGTAAATTTGTATAAAAGATAAGTTTAACTGGCCACTTCCTTCTGTATTTTAACCAACTTCAAGCTACACTCAAGGAACCCCTTGAGAGAGTGAATTAATGCCAGAACTTGGCCAGAACCAGAACCAGGACCCCCTAGACGAGTAGCCTGCAGACCAGACCGCTTTTCACCGAGCAGGAAAATGCGAGAACATTCAGTTTAACTTTGTCTGCCTCCAACTCCAACTCCAACGGGTAATCCAATTATAATAGAGCTGGACGTAGCCGGGGAGCACCTGCCCCACTTGGGGGATTCTTCTAAAATATAAAAATTGATTACATGCGTGTCTGTCTCCCCTTTTTTGGTCCACTCAAAAACTTGTTTGTTTTGGTTCGCGCGCCGGCAAAGCGTTTAAAAATTTATGAACTGCAGTCAACCGATAAAAGATGGATGGCATTGCATCCCGACAAGAGGTGGAGACACACCTCGTAGTGCTCGTAGTGCTTCTCCAGCTCACTCCGAAATTGGTGCAGTTGCTCAATGTCATCGCGCTTGGCGGTGTCACTTGCTGCATATTAAACAGTTTTTTTCGAGATTCAGTCCCAGAGGCGGCACTTCATCAGCTTTGGTTTCTGTGTGTGTATGTGTGCTAAAAAATTGATTGATCCTGCAGGAGGAGATTGTTACGCCTCCTCCACCTTCTTCTCCTCTATTTGCTGTGACGAAATCATCCGTAGACGTAGACGACGAGACGGGGGTGGCCTGGTCTCAGGATGCTCAACGCACGCATTAAAACAATTTAAAATTCCCAAAGACCGAAACACTAGGCATCATCGCTGGTACAGTGGGTGGCATAGCCTTGGGAGAGTTTCCACTGCCAGAGGAGGGGCATCCTAGGATCCCTAACAAAAAAAATCCATTAGGAAAGGTTTCTTTTGTTGGTAAGTTGGGCTTTTGGTGAGATAATTATGTGGCTTCCAAAGGAAATAAGTATTTAAAAAGTAATGAGTAACACCTAAATCCTTAGTAATATTTCTGTCTAGATACACCCACCACACCCACTGTACCCCATGTACCATGGGCGGTCGAGGCTGCTTGCTGCGCCGACTAGGACCTGCTCTTGTAAAGCTTTAAATGCATTAAATTGTCAAAGCGATGGGGCTATGCTAAAAGTTTTGCTGGCCATAAAATTGCATGCCACAAGACAAAAAAGGAGTCCGTGTAGCCCCATCATCCATCGAAGGCGTATGGCTCCTGTATCCCTCTCGACACACACACACACACACACACACACACATGTGCGATTCCCGAACCGATGCTGGTCAGTCAGTCAAGTCCGCAAAACCAAATGAATGATGAATTGCCTGTCACTTGCAATTTTTGCAGACGGACGAGAACACAGAACGAACGTTCGTTGGTTCGTCTTTGCCAGCTTGTTTAAATTTTCATGTTTTTCTAAGCCTCCTCCCCCACCCCCCCGGTTGGCCATAACTTGTGGACCTGGTCCAGACACGGCTACCAAAACGCTGACATGCCGAGTGCTTTCATGGAATTTGCGTTTTAAAAAGGCGGCAACGTTGACATCCTTGTCATTGTCTCTCTGCTCTTGTCGGCCACTTTTGGTCGAAAATGTTTTGCTTTTTTCGAGTTCCCGCACAAAAATTCACAAATTTAATTGGGTGAGCATTGGGAGGCATGGCAGAAAAGTCCAAAAAATTATGAAATATTTCTTTGGGTAAAATATGAAAGCAGGTAAAATATTTTCCAGACGGGAACAGAAGGTATTTTGAAGCAGAGAAATGTCAATACTGTCGGGGATTCAAAGGGAATATCATAATTTTGGGTATAAATGGAACTTAAAGTCAAAGAGTTATAGAAAGGATACCAAAAGCTATATGTAAACCTTTGTAATTAGCAAAAAACGTTTCAAATAATCCCAGAGTACGCCCCTCTCCTATCTCTCTTAAATAAATCCTCTCAAATCCAGGACTAAATCCTCATTCCCCCCTTGATGTCTATGCAAAAATTAGTCCATTGGCCAGAATCGCATTCATCATAACGATAGTGATAGGACCCCAAACATGGACATTATGTTCATGTCCGTATCGAAATGAGCAAAGATCCACTAAAAATTGATTGTTTGGCAATTTATTTGGACAGTTGCCTCTAGGGGGTTGGGAAAATGGTGGAAATAGGGCTAGAGGATGGCCCATGGCCGGACATCATTAGGTATGCAAATAAATACGCCCGGAATGTGTGGCAACATTTTAAAATGCCGCATGCGGATGAATTTATGGCGCCTATCTGGCTATTTCGCCTGTCAAAATTCATCAGAGTCCATCAAATGCATTTCCCCGCAACCAGCCACGCCCCCAGGCGTGCGTAAATAATGACAATGAAGGTCGGATTTGGGAGAGAGTGAGAGTGAAAGCTCTGGATGATGATAAGGCCCTTTGGGGATCACACATTGGTTACCCTTTCCAGCCTCGAAAATCGCCCCTCGTCTGCATACATTTTCCAACTTTTGAAATGAGAACTCGCCGAAAAAATAAAACCGAAATTAAATTAGTTAATTAATGCAGCAAAGCAAAAAAATAAAGGTAAGGGGGGAAATTTGGGGTCACCCATCAATCATGGGGCCAAGGGTCACCGCCTCACGCGTGTGTCAAATATTTTTGGTCTACCGAGCCCGTAGATTGCTTTCGCTTTCACTCCCAAAAACAAAAAAAACAAAAAAAACGCACAGTCGTCAATCCAAATTCAAGCCACAATCCCAATCCCAATTCCTCCTCTCTTGACATTTCCAATTGGCCAGGGAAGAAGTATTCACAAATTAGTTGCCCACATGTGTCAGCCAAAAAGGTGATTAAGCGGTTTCGGTCCAAGCCGAAAATTATCCATAAGCACTCCGAAAAAAAGAAGAAAAAACACACATAATGAAAGGCTAATCCAAATAAGTTATGCAAAGAGGCAAAGTCAAAGCCAAATGTATCAGATTTCGCGCTTTGCGGTTATATCTCAAATTTGTTCTGCCTCTTTTCTGTGTTTAAACACGCCCTAAGCCTAAAGGTAAACATTGGATTTCCATTAGCCAACAAGGGTTAACTTGGCCAACGCAAGAAACAAAAAAGCAAACCAAAAATTGGCCAAGGAATGTAAGAGTTTGACTAACGCGAATTTTGAAAATACTCTGAAAAAGGCAATAATTACAAGGGATTTACTAATAATTATGTTAAACTATTAAAGTCTATGCGATTTTTGACTAGAAAATCTGTTTAATCTCATTTAACTTCTTCACCCTTCCCAATTAATTAGACTTAAATTAAACTTTATATATAAATATATTTCCCCCTTTTGTAGAGAGCTTATTTTTATAAAATATTCCCCTGTCTGATGGACATTCCTTAAATCGTTTCTGTTTTTATCCCCAACGGTCATCTAACCCTTTTCATGGGGGCTTTGCATTAATTTCTCCCGTCCGCCGTTTTTTGCAGGTGTTTTGGTTTTTGGTCATGTGAAAATTTGCATAAAACGTAAAAAAAAAACAACGTTTGTTCTGCATTTTTAATTAATTAATTAAAAGCAAGTCGTCGAGGCCAATAACGAGGCTATCAACGGCAACGTCATCGTCCTAATCAACGTCATTATCGTGGAAAGAGAGGGAGAGAGGGAGAGACTCATGCAAATATTTGTCTCCTCCGTCTCTTTGTTAGATTGTCTCGGCCCTTCCCTTCCCTTGTTTGCATATGCATGAACCTAATTTTAATTAATATTTTATTATCTTAATTATGCATCGCACCTTGCCGCGTTTCCGCTCACTTCCTCCCTCCTGCTGGCTGAGTTTTGCGTTTAGTTTTCGACCTTTTGCCTAACAAATTATGGCCATAAATAAAGTAAACGAGTTAAGAGTGGTTTTGCGTGTTCTCTCCAGAATGCCCATTCGCACTGACTGCCTCTGTGTGTTTATGTTTTTCTCTCTTTATGTGTTGTCTGGGTTTTTGTCTAGCCGCGGTCTGGCTTAGCGCTTGGCTAATGTCATTTTCATATTGTAAAAAAAAAAAAATAAATAAAAGGGTTAACACGTTCTCCAAAAAACATTGCGCCGAGTGCAGGCAGCGTTAATTTCAGCTGATTTATTGGTTTTATTAGGGGTCTAATTGGCTTAAAGGGTTAAATGGAAGTAAGAACAGGTGTAGCTTGACTTTTGATGGTAGATAAGAGAAGAGTAGCTGCATTTGAATTGAAATTTATATGTTTTGTTTACCTAACCCACAGATAAACTATTAGTTTCTCTATAGTTACACTTATCACTTACACAGCTTCCCGCATTTATTCAACATTCATCATTTCCAGCTACTTTCATTAAAGACAAGCCTCAATGGAGACCAGAATACTCGAGTTTCAATAACAAACCTTTATAGAGTTCGAATTTCATAACTCATTTCTGTGGTTGGGAAGACTCTCACTTTTCTCTCTTACTTTTTTTTGCCGCCTGCTTTTCTCACATACATTAGCATTGGAAATCCATTAGGCGGGCGGCGAGGGCGTGGCCGTCGCCCTCGGGGGAAAGGTGATGCTGGCATGCCACAAATGAGACTTTGCCACAAACGAAAGTTTGTAATTTATTACAAATTAAAATAAATCAAATATAGAAAATATCGAAAATGGACTGAGGCAGAGCGATAAATCTGGCGCAGAGCAGGTGATTCAACGGCAAATGTCTCTATACAAGTTACAGAAAAACAACCAAAGATAGGCGTCATTTGCATTTTGAGTGGAATCATAAAAATGATAAACATTAATTTCTTTATTTTCCGGTGCGGAGAGGAAACGATTTGTCAGTCGGCGGAACACAAACTACAAATATTCGGCTTTAAATGTAAATATATATTTCCAACGGAAAACCCTCTACTAATGGCAGATAACCGC